GGGCCGGAGTCTGGGAAGGAAGGGTGAATGGAGAAGAAGGGCCGTCCAGCCGAGTGCGTGCGCGGCTACCCTGGCGGAGACAGGGTGGCCCCAGAGAGACCGAGCCCCGGGGTGTGCCGCTTCCCTCCGGGGATAAAATTCCGGGGTGAGGCCGTTTGTTCTGCTAAGACTCCCCCTAACAGGCTTGCGGGCTTATGCCCTATCAGGCCTGGCCAGGGCCTGACGACCACCCATCCTGTCTGGAGCCTCACGGGGCAAAGTCACAGATAGTTGGTAGCTGACCTTGGTCGGGACCCTCAATTTTCTGACCCCCCAATCCAGTCCTCTGCCTGCATGAGGCTGATTTAGTTTTGCTCGCAGATGGCAAATATGGTGTCCTCGTCTTTCAGATGGGAGGACGTAAAAGCTATGAAATACACGTGATACATATTAAAGTCCAATTTCAGCTCCCGGGGTGGGAAGAGCTTTTCTGAGGGTGTCTCAAAAGGCGAGGGAGGAGGCGGTTGGGAAGACGACTGTAGAGAGACCCGGAGCTGGAGACAAGTTTGAGCGCACCCGGGTTAAGAGCTACACGCGGGAGATCTGGCTTTGGGAGGGAGGAACTTCCTTGGAGCTCTATCGCCATCGTGTGGCCATTTCGGGAACTGCAGCCAAGGACTTGCGACCTTCTGCCTTTGTGTAAATGACTTAGGGCTACTGGGTACCGGGGCCACTTTTTTTTGTTTGTGTCCGAGTCACACCCTGTCGCCCACGCTCGCGGCCACCGCAGTCTCGACCTGCTGGGCTCTGGCCACCTTTCCATCTCAGCCTTCCAAGTAGCTGGAACTACAGGCACGTGCCACCGTGCCCTGCCAATTTTTTGATTTGTTGTAGAGATGAGATCTTGCCAAGTTGCCCAGGCTGGTCTAGAACCCCTGGGCTCAGGCAATCCTCTCGCCTCAGCCTCCCAAAGCGCTGGATTACAGGTGTGAGGCACCCCGCCTAGCCTCGTTTAGGATTCTTGATTGTGATTGTGGTGGGGCTCGGTGGCTCAGCCTGTAATCCCACGCTTTGGGAGGCCGAGGTGAGTGGTTTGCCTGAGCCCGCGGGTTTGAGACCCGTCTGGGCAACTTGGCCAGACCTCATCTCTACAATAAATCAAAAGTTAGCCTGGTGTGGTAGCGCACGCCTGTGGTTCCAGCTACTCGGAAGACTGAGGCGGAAGCATCACCGGAGCCCAGCAGGTCGAGGCTGTGGTGGCCGGGAGCAGCCACTGCACTCCAGTCTGGGTGACAGAGTGAGACTCCAACTCAGAAAAAAAGAAAACAAAAAGGATTCTTGATTGCACTCCTGGCCTTCACCCAAGGGGCTCCTGACCACGCAGCCTAAAACCCGAAACAGCTCTTGTGTTTGAGACGTGCCACCACCCCCCACCCATTTCCCCATGCCCGGAAAGTGATATATATCCCATACGCAGGCTGGGGCAGATGGGCAGTCAAGCACACAGCCTCCCCAGGAAGCTCGACTCCACTCACCACCAAGTCCTCTTGGGGGCTTCCTCTCTCCACCCCCATCTCCTGTCTCAGGTGTCACCTCACCAAGGTGTGAGTCGACCAGCCTCACCTGGGCCAAGTGGGTCCTCATGGCGTCAGCTAGCTTGGCCACCAGCCGTTCTCGCACCGAATCTGACTCCTTCTGGGGAGAGGGTGGATAATGGGGTGATGGAAAAGGCCTGGACTTTGTGGTCCTCTGGGGGTCGGGGAAGAAGGAAACGGGAAAAGGAGGGTAGAGGAGACTTTGTCTCTCCCCCTTCCACTCCATCCCCTTGTTTTTCCCAGGGTCCTGCCTCCGCCTGCCTGCAACTGTGGACGGAGACTGACTGTCCCTCACACCAGTCTCCCAGGACTTAGCACACCGTGGGTTCAGTGCACGTTTGATGAGTGAAAGGCTGTGGGGAAGTGAAGGCAGGAACGTCAGCCAGAGGAGAGCTGGACTCCAGGGAGGAGGTTTCTTACCTGACATTGGGCCAGCGCTTCCTTGTAGTACTTCAAGGCCTGGTCATACTGTCCCAGTCTGGCCGCAGCAGCCCCCAGCCCCTCACAGGCTTGCCACTGCCCCTTCACGTCCCCTGAGGAAGAGGTCCTCTCATGGCTCCCTACCAGCCCCTCCAGCGGTATCCCCCCCCCCATTCCCCTCATCTGCCTCCCAACCAGCCCTGAGGACCCCTTGGGCCTCCTAAGTCACTTGCTAACCCTCTGGCCCTTTACCAGCGTCCCGTGCAGCCTGCAGGGCATGCAGGTAGTTGTCTCTGGCGGTTGTGTGGTCCCCCAACTGGCTCAGCGCAAAGGCCAGGCTGCCGAAGCTCCGGCCCTGCTCCCACCGCTGCCCCACAGAGCCTGAGGACAGAGCCCACCCCACCCTAAGCAGGGACTCTGGCGGCTGGGGCATTAGGACCCTGCCCCCCAGCAAACGAGGCAGGGCTCCCAGGAGTCCCAGTGTCCTGGCCCAGCACACCTCCAGATGGCCCACACAAGTCTGAGCTCTCCATGCCGGCCTCTCCTCATCCTGAGTTTGAGTCAGGCAAAGCCTGTGAGATAGGCACGGCTGGTATTAACGGCCCCATTTTATTTATTTTTAGTTTATGTTATTTTTTTGAGTTGGAGCCTCACTCTGCCACCCAGGCTGGAGTGCGGTGTGACGCTCCTGGTCACCACAGCCTGGACCGGCTGGATTCCAGCAGTCCTTTCACCTCAGCCTTCCAAGTTGCTGGAACTACAGGGGCATGCCACCATGCCTGGCTAATTTATTAAACAGCCCCATTCTTATGAGTGCAGAAACTAAAGCTCAGGCTTTAGTGATTCGCCAAGCCTCACACCATCAGCAGGGGGCTGAGCTGTTCTCCAGACCTCCCCTCCCAGCAGTGTCTGTCCCCCTGCCACTGCTGCCCTCCCAACCCCAGGCCTCGCCTCTGGGCCCACCACCCTCAGTCCTGTCTAGCTATCCCATCTCCTGCACTGCCAGCCCCCATGCCCTCTGGTTCCGGACTTCCCAGCCTCTTAACTGGTCCCAAAGGTCTACCTACACTTAAGCTTTGGAGCCCCCACTGGCTCCCCCCTTAGTCCTCTGATCCCAGCCTCAGTCCCCAGCCCCTGGCACCTACCATGCAGGTCGGCAGCCTTCTGGTGAAAGTCTCGAGCTTCTGGATAGTTGCCGAGAGCGGTGTGGGCCATCCCAAGGTTTCTCAGCACTGTGGCCTGCTCTCCTGGCGTCCGGCACAGGGGCAAGGCCTGCAGGAAGGCCTCCACGGCTAGTGGGAACAGCTGGAGCTGGGAGTAGCCCAGGCCTAGGTCATTGTAGAGGTGCCCTAGAGGGCACAGCCAGGGTCACAGGCAGCCAGATCAGGGTAACTATGGCTGTACCGGGCAGCCCCTGTTCCCTCCTCAAACCCCCTCAGTCCTCAGGGCATCATCAGGCTGTGAGTCTCCCCAGACCCCACACCCCCCCTGTCCAAAGGCCTCACCCAGCAGTCCCTGCTCAGAGCTGCTCTCAGCCAGCCTCCGGCTCTCCTCCAGCACCTGCAGAACTTCACCTACCCCGTGCTGTCCGCTCTTCAGCATACACCCTGCTGCAGCCCCCAGGGCCAGTGCTGCGGCCCGGGGCCGCCTTGCTTGGGCATAGGCCTGACTTGCTTCCCGCAGGCAGCGAGCTGCAAGCTTGGGCTCTCCCAGAGCTTGGTAGCAGGCACCCATTTTTGCCTGGGCTTCCCCCTGGTCGCCCTGTGGCTGGTAGTGGCCCAGAGCCCTGTGGTACCAGGCCAAAGCTTGAGGCAGCTCGCCGAGGGCATGGTAGGCCAAAGCCACGTTAAAACACTGGTCGCCATGATGCCTGCCCTGTGCCTTCTCCTCAGGTTGGGCTCGCAGGAGCAGCTCGAGGCCTGTAGCGGGGTCTCCTGTCTCCACATAGGCTGCGCCCAGGTTGAATGCACAGGCCCGCAGCACAGGGATATCTCTGGTGTGTGGAGCCTTGGAGGCCAGAAGGAAGGCCCTTTGGAAGCTGGTCAAGGCCTCGTGGTTCTGGCCAGCCTGCAGGGCCCCATGTCCAGCCCGGGTGAAGGCTTGGATGCTGGCCTTTTGCTGTGGCCACCTTCTTTTCTTCTTTTTCTTCTTGGAGCTTGACGGCTCTGGCTCACCTTCCTGGGGGACATCCTCAGGGTTGGGGGACGACATAGGCCTGATGCTGGGGAACAGAGGGGTCAGCATGTCAGTCCTGGGCAATCAGGCTCCCTTTTCTTTTTTTTAATTGGAGTCTCACTCTGCCACCCAGACTGGAGTGCAGTGGCCGACCTGCTGGGCTCCAGCGATCTTTCCGCCTCAGCCTTCCAAGTAGCTGGAACTACAGGCGTTCGCTACCACGCCCCACTGTTTTTTTTATTTATTGTAGAGATGAGGTCTCGCCAAGTAGCCCAGGTGGGTCTCAAGCCCGCAGGCTCAGGCAATTCACTCACCTGGGCCTCCCAAAGCGCAAGATTACAGGCTAAGCCACCGAGCCAGGCTAATCAGGATCCCTTTAGGGCAATTCAGCTCTACCCTGGCGTGACCCCCAGGGTTCCAAGGATTGCCCTCTGATATCTCACTTTGCTTCAACTGTCCATTGAGCACCTTATTGACTCACTTTAATGTCTTTTTTTTTTTTTAAGTTGGGGTCTCACTCTGTCTCCCAGACTGGGGTGCAGTGGCATGCTCCTGGCCACTGCAGCCTCGACCTGCTGGGCTTTGGGGGTCCTTCTACCTCAGCCTTCTAAGTAGCCAGAACTACAGGTGCACGCTACCATGCCCGGCTATTTTTAGAAATTTATTGTAGAGATGAGATCTCGCCAAGTTGCCTGGGCAGCTCTCGAACCCACGGGCTCAGGCAATCCACTTGCCTCAGCTTCCCAAAGTGCTGGGATTACAGGCTTAGCCACCAAACCAGGCCAATATCTAACTCTTAACCCTCCTTTAAGACTCAGGTCAAGAAACATCTTCCTTTAGAAAGCCCCTCCTTCTCAGCCAACTGGGCACTTCTGTGGTCACATAGCCCCTTATGCCTATGTCTTTTTTTTTTCTTTTTTGAGTCAGAGTCTCATTCTGTTGCCCAGGCTGGAGTGCAGTGGCTCTATCACAGCTCACTGCTGCCTCAACCTTCTGGGCTCAGGCAATCCTTCTACTTCAGCCTCCTGAGTAGCTGGGACTACAGGTATGTGCCACCACACCTGGCTAATTGTTTTTTTATTTTTTGTAGAGACTAAGTCTTGCTATGTTGCCCAGGCTGGTCTTGGGTTAGGTTCAGTGGCATTAAGTACACTCACCACCATCACCTCCAGGGCTTTTTCACCTCCTTTGATAAACATTTACTGAGACTCTACTTCATGTCACACCCTTCAAGTTGCTCCACGAGTGGGAAACACAAGAAAGTTGGCAACTGTGACCCAATGTGATAAATGCCATGAAAGACACAGGCATGGCCAGGCGTGGTGGCTCACGCTTGTAATCCCAGCACTTTGGGAGGCCAAGGCAAGAGGACTGCCTGAGCTCAGGGCTTCGAAACCAGCCTGGGCAATTTGGTGAGACCCTGTCTCTACAATAAATCAAAAAATTAGCTGGGCGTGGTAGCACATGCCTGTAGTTCCAGCTACTTGGAAGGCTGGCAGAAGCGTTGCCTGAGCCAAGCACATTAAGGTTGTGGTGGCCGTGAGTGTGCCATCGCACTCCAGCCTGGGCGACAGAATGAGACTCCAACTCAAAAAAAATGGTTAAAATGATAAATTTTATGCTATACATATTTCACCACAATTTGTGGATGTGGATGAAGGGACAGCATACCCAGGGGCTCTCCCCAACACTCCCTCACACGGCGCCCCCATGACACCCACCCGCTCACAACCTAGGTTCTCCCGCTGTCTCATCTCAAGATGTAGTTCAGGTCAGGTCTACAAAGATGCAGTGAGTCCCTGCGTGTGCCAGGAGCCATAGGAGGTACTGGGGGCCTGGGCTGGGGAGGCTATTGCTTTGGCATGGAGCCAGCCTCTGGTGCGAGGCCCTCTTTGGAAGGGAGAGCGGTATCTGACTGTAGGGGCGTTCGCTGCCTCTCCCCCCAGCCCAAGGGGGGCTCGGTTTTCTGTCTGGTGGCTGGCTCCAGGCCCAAACTCCTGCTCTGGTCTCCACAGCCTTCTTAAACCCAAGCGTTGTCTCATCAGCGTGTGGGGCCTGTTAGGATCTTTCCCCTTGAAAGGCAAAGGCTTTTCAGAAACTCTTCCCAGAATACGGAAGAGGAGTGTGGAAAAGACCCCGGCACCGGCCCTTCCCATCTTCTTCTTCTTCTTTCTCCCCCTTTTTAGGAGGCGCAGGCAGAAAAGATGCATTCTCTTTTCAAGAAATTCCCCTTGCTTCTAACAATATCCAGGCATCCCGCCCCCAGGCTGTTTCTGACTCCCCCCACCCAGTTGGGGGCTCATGCAGCAGGAGCCTTACCTCCTTGGTCTCTGCAGCTGTCTTTCTGGAATGGCCCCTCTGGCTTGGGTTACCTCCCCCAGCTCTTGGCTCAGAGCCCGGGGTTACTAGACAACCAGGTACCAACTCCACTCCTAGGGGATTCTTTAAGCGACAGCTCAGAGGCCCTATCTTAGTGCTGACCTGATGCTGCTTGGGCGGGGACACCTGAACTTTATGGCCTTTCCATAAAGCTGCAGACAGACACACTTCAGGGAATGAATCAGTGCGCCCTGGGGCTGCTAACTAGTTACACCCTCGGAAATCATTTGCCCCATCCTCTAACTCCATAGAGGAGGGATCTGAGGCTCTGAAAGCAGCTGTGAATTGCCTAAGGTCACGGTGCAGTCATGTAGCTGGGGTTAGACCCTAGGTATTCCGATACAAAGTAATGATCCACAACACTGTGATCACAAGCTTTAACATCACTTCACTATCCCAGAAGCGAACACACACATGCACACACACACATACTCTCTTACACACTGTGCTTCTGTGTGGTAGTTTTACTTTTGGGAACGGGGCGGGTGGGGGGAAAAGGAAAGGCTTGGAGATCAGAGGAGCCTCTCTGCTGCTGGACTCGGACTCTGCTTCCCAGCTCCACTGATCTGCAATTTATAGGTTCTGCTTAAGTGAGGACGTGAGGATGGCAGGCCCCAGGATAGGACAGCAGGCCCCAAGACAATGGGTCCTAACACCCAACTCACCAAAGGGGGCTGCATCAGAAAGCACACGTCCTCATTTACCTAGGGAAAGACCTCTCTTAAGTAAAGAGGACTTTGCCAGAAACAAAATGATGAGGACGTGGTTGGGCTGGCCTGCATTGGCCCTGCAGCCTTCACTAAATGCCTGTGGTGTGCAGGCTGGTGCTGGGTGCCACCGACAGCACTGTGAGAGCAGAGGCTTCCCTCTGCCCTTCTGAGTTCTTTGGCTGGCTACAAATTAACTTGACATGAGTCGGATTCATAGAGGAAAAACCATTTTAATTACAATCATGCTTCACTCGGTGTTGGGGATATGTTGAGAAATGCTTTGTTAGGTGATTCTGTCATTGTGCAAATAGCACAGAGTGCACTTACACAAACCAGCTAACATAACCTACCATACATCTAGGCAATGTAGTACAGCCTATTACGCCTGGGCTCCAAACCTGGATAGCATGCTAGTGTACTTAATACTATAGGCAACTGTAACACAATGGGAAGTGTTTGTGTATCTAAATGTATCTAACCATAGAAAAGATACAGTAACAACAATACTGTAAAAAAATAAAATAAGAAATGTCACACTGTACTGGGCATCTACCGTGAATGGAGCTGGCAGGACCAGAAGTTACTCTGGGTGGGTCCATGGGTGAGTGCTGGGTGGATGTGAAGGTCTAGGACACAACTGAACACTTTTTTTTAAGTCGGGGTCTCACTCTTTTGCCCAGGCTGGATTGCAGTGGCATGATCATAGTTCACTGAAGCCTGAATCTCCTGGGCTCAGGCGATCCTTTCATCTCATCCTCCCGAGTCGCTGGGTCTACAGATGTGCCACCATGTCTGCCTAATTTTTTTGATGTTTTTTGGAGAGACAAGGTCTGGCTGTGTTGCCCAGGCTGATCTCAAACTCCTGGGCTCAAGCAATCCTCTTACCTCCGCCTCCTAAAGTGCTTGGATTACAGGTGTGAGCCACTGTGCCCAGCTCTACAGAACACTTTTATAGGACTGGCAGTGCAGTAGATTTGTTTACATCAGCATCACCACAGATGTGAGAGTGATGCATTGTGCTAAAATATTAGGACAGCTACAACATTACTAGGTGATAAGACTATTTTAGCTCATTATAACCTTATGGGACCACTGTTATAAATGTGGTTTGTTATTGACTGAAACATCGTGAAGAGATGCATGACTGTTATGTGCTCATGCACAGAGCCCCACAAAACATAAGACTCGAAGTAGGGTCAGATGATTGTTGCTTATATGGCACCCTGGGCTACTGCAAGGGAGGGGGCCCCGGGCACACCTGGGAGGTGGTGCTGGCATAAGTTACTGTGGTTAAGGGGAGGAAGCACATGGTGAACAAAGGCTGTCCTGCTAGAACGATACAGATACTCCACTAATGTAGATTTTTCTTTATAAATATACATTTGCTTTACAAAAGGACAGCTTTTCAGAGCTGCTCCTGTGTCTGCAGTTTCTCAGAATAACTGCTCAAAATATGCCAAAGAAGTATATTTTTGGGTGGCATACAATTCTGTTTTCCTACAGTCATATTTTGGGATGCTATGTCCTGAGCCCCGACAGTGCCCGTGACAGAGGCAGGCTGTCCCAGCTGCCTGCAGCTTCTGCCCACAGCTGGGCTTCTGGATGCCACCACAGCCTGGTCAGGGTCAAATATGCAGCTCTGTCTGTCCTTCCCACACCAGGTTTCCTTTAAGGAGAGAGGGTAGAGGCTAAAACTGCTCTTACTAAGGTCCCAGTAACTACTCAGTGATCCAGTGACCATTCCCGAACCATTTTCATGTTTGATTCCCTACTGTATCCACCACATCCTTGCAACTCTTCTCACTTGGCTTCCATGACGTCTCCTGGCTCTCTCTCCCCTTCTCCTTTTTCATCTCTTTTGCCGGACCCTCTGTCCACCTCTTAAGTGCCAGTGTCCCCCAACACTCTGCTCTTTGCCATTTTCTCTTCATTACATACTTTTCGAAA